GACGCTATGGGGTGGGTGGAGGGGGATCCTATGGGGTGGAAGGGTGGGGAGGGACGCTATGGGGTGGGGAGAGGAAGGGAGAAGCCGTGGGGTGAATGGGCTGAGAGGGGGATCCTATGGGGTGGAAGGGTGGGGAGGGACGCTATGGGGTGGGTGGATGTGGAGGGATGCTATGGGGTGGGGAGAGGAAGGGAGAAACTGTGGGGTGAATGGGCTGAGAGGGGGATCCTATGAGGTGGGTGGGTGGATGGGGAGGGATGCTATGGGGTGGGGAGAGGAAGGGAGAAGCCGTGGGGTGAATGGGTGAGGAGAGGAAAGCTGTGGAGTCGAAGGGTCTTTTCCCCTAAATACTTAGCAGAGGGAGAGAATCTGGGGGACTTTTCTTCCCCAGAAGGTCTTTGCCGGGGGACTCCAACCCCCTGCGTGTACTGGGAGCTGTTAAACCCCTGCTCAGACAGGTGTTGGGAAGCAGTTTGGGGCCTGAGCCAAAGCCCACTGGGGGGCCCCCTTGACCTCCAAGGCATTTGGCGCAATCAAACACTTGGCGAGTTCGTTAGCTCCAGTCTGAGCAGTTTCCCCACTGGGGAAGGCAGCCCCGGCTTCAGGATGGACCCAGGCTGGCTTCCACCAGGGCTTTCCCTTGGCGAGGGGGGCAGGGGCCTTGTCACAGGCACGGTCCCTCAGCTTAGCCTGGGCAGGAGGTGGGTCTCTAGTGCTTGGACGGCGATGGGGATACAGAGCCTTGCACCTCAGGCACGTGGCTTCTGAGCCAGCCCGTTGTGGGAACGACTGACAGCGGCTGTCTCGGGCGGCGATTTGGTGCCTGCCTGCCTGCGGACTCGGTCCAGGTCCCCGCTGCCCCCGTCACCAAATAGCCCTTTGTGGTCAGCCGCAGCAGAGAGACCACAGGGCTGGCTGGGTTGTGGAGGCCGAACTGCCCTCTCAGGCCCCTCCACGCCCGAGGGGAACACATGATCCCAGAAGCTGGCGCTGCCCACGTCGTGCCAGAGCAGGTGAGCTCCGTGGGGCAGCGGGGCTCCCAGGCACTACCACACCCACAGCACCACCAGGGGATGTGGGGTCCAGGCGGCCATCCCAGCGCGGAGGTCCTAGGCCCGGAGACCGCAGCGTGCTGAGCACGTCAGCAGGGCCGGCGCTCTGGCGAGGGTTTGTGTTTGCCCAGCAGGGCGCAGTGACCCGCTGGTGCTATTGTGTTGCTGCGTCATGACACGGCTGGGTTCGAGTCACAACATCACAGCGGGTCGGGACGACATTGCCCCCCCAGGGACAGGCAGGGTACTGACACCACACGACATCACCAGCTGCCGGGCCCATGACAACGGGGACTCCCCTGTGCCTTGCAGGATGGCAGCCGCGGGGACCCACCCTGTCCCTCCAGCTCAGCAGCACGCTTAGCGGGGCCCCCGGTTCTCCCCAACAGGCTGCTCTAATTTCATATGAGGGGGGTGAACTTTGCTCAGCTACACCAGTGTGAATCTGGCTTGACTCCGGATTCCCACTGCTCTAAGGGACTGAATTTAGCTGGTCTGCAGGAAGCTCTTTCCAGCGCTGGAGTAGGGGGTCATCCGTCACATTGGATGCTGAGGGCCAGATCCTCAGCTGGTGTAAATCAGGGTTGCTCCAGGGAAGTCAATGGAGCAATGCCCATTTACCCCAGTAGCCAAATGACGCCAGCTGAGGAGCAGGCCCCAAATGCCAGTAGGGTCCATTTCAGTGAAGCCGGCTTGTGATCAGAGGCCCGGGTTTGTGCCCAGAAGCTCGAAGCCTTCGATCCCTCAGCATTACGGATGATAACGCTGGATCTGCTTGTGATCCGGAGCCACGTCCAATCCCTTTGCGACGCGTGCTAAGGCACACGCTAGGGTGCTGGTCGTGCACGACTGAGCCTCTCGTATCTCGGACACGGATTCAGGTCTGCTCCAGGTCAGCAGAGAACCGAGCTGATAAGAGCCATCAGCCCGTTGGTCGCCTGTGTGAAATGGGCACGAGGACTGGCGCTATTAACGAGCGCCCTGGTGGGTGGTCTCTGCTCGGAGACCGAGGGCCAGATTTGGCTCTGTTACACCGCTTCAAAGCGTTGGTGTATTTGGGTGGTCGTGCCCCAGGCATGGACCAGCTAGGAGCTGTAGGGACCTGCAACAAAGTGTCGGCCCCTGCCACAAAGAGGGGCAGTTGGCGTGTGAGAGGAGAGACCGAGGGGAGCCCAATGGAACCCTGAACCCATCTTGGGCAGCGGGGTAAGCAGCCGTCACAGCTCACCGGCTGCCACGCACTCATGGTCACCGCTGCCGTGGGCCCGTCAGCCCGGTGACAATGCTGCGTTCAGTGGAAAATGAGAAGCGTTGGGTTCCCCGCCCCCCTCTCTGCTGGGCCCCGTATCCACCTCCAGCCTCGCGGCCTCACTCTGTGCATTTGTTTCTCCAGAGACGGTCCCCTACACGCCCCAGATCACTGCCAAGTCGCTGGAAGGGAAGCTCACCGCGACCACCTTCACGCTGGACCAGCCCATCTGCATCTTCGATCAGTACGTGAACAGCACCGATGACATCTGGCTGGTCGTTGCCTTCACTAACAGTACGTGTGGCTCCAGACCCCGCCAGACACCTTTCCCTGTGCCTACAACAGCCTTTGCCAGTCCCGATATGGCACTGTCTGAGGAGGAAGTTCACAGGCCCCTCTATTCCCCTTCTGGCTTTTCCTTCCTCCGTCTCGCTTGAGAGATTGTAGGGCTGTGTCTCCGCTCTAAGGGGTTACTCCCTGCCCTAGTAAAGGCAACGGGGTCAGAGCACGGCACTAGGACGCCTGCGTTTTAGTCCTGGCTCTGCAACCGTCTCACTCTGCGGCCTTGGGCTAGTCACGGAGGCTCACATTTTCAAAAGCAACCTCTGAACCTCGTGGAGGCCTGAGCTAGCGGGAAGTTAAATAAGATCCTCTGGCCAGGCCCGAGTCAGGCAGGGTGGACAGCTGCCATCCAAACGAGCTGCACTGTGCCCAGCCAAGCGGTAGAGGGAGCCAAAGGACACCCTGGCCCCTAATTTAAATGAGTTCAGTGAAATACGTGTTTGCATGAAATTTTCGGGTGGGCCCTAGAGATTCCTAGGAATGTGGGGTTTGCCACACCGGATCAGGCCGCTGGTCCTTCAGGTTTGGTATCTTGCCTCTAGCTGCGGCTTCAGGAGAACACCTGCTCCATTATGCACCTAGCCAATTGCACAATGCTGTGAATGGAGGGGAAATACCCCTGCAGCCCTCCCCTCACGCCCTGGAGCAGGACTTTGGATTGCTCATATCTGACCATGGGGATGACAGCTCTTTACAGCTGGATCGCTTTGCCAAGCCCTTTGAAAAAATCCCGCGGCAGATCGAGACGCTGACCACCTGCCGGCATTCCTAGGGGAGCAAGAATCCTCTGATGCCTAACCCAGCCAGCCTGGCAGTGATCTCACGTTCATTACCCACTGCCCCGTTTCCGCCGAGGGCGCTCTGCCTTTGTAGAATAAAGCCCGGTCCGCCCTTAAAACGGATCCCGCCTAGCTGTGCTGGCTCTGTGGAAAAACCACTGTCCCTGTGCCAACGCAGTGTAGACGCAGCTATGCTGACAGAAGATTGCTCTGCAGTGTAGACGCAGCGTCTTGCGTCCTGGCTCCATCCCCCAGCACTGGGACATCGCAGATGTCCTGTGCATTTCAACCAGGCAGCATGTGTCTCTGCTGCAGCTGGTGCCGATTTGCAGCGTTAGCCCGTTCTCCGTGCCTGCTGCGACGCACTGCTCTCTGTCCCGGCGTGGCAGCTCCCTCGCTGGGACCCGCAGGCTTCGGGCACAAGGGTTTCACTGCACACGGCCTGGCGATGTGCCACCTACGGGCCACTCTCGCGATTTTGGTTCCTAATGTGCATGGGGCAGAATTTTTGCCGGGGCAGGCGCTCGCAGCAGGAGAATACCCACCCGTGGGCCATCCCTCGTGCTTCCGTTCACACTGCGACACGTACACTTAGGCCCTGAGGTGCTGGCTGTTGGCGTCATTGGCAAGACAGCCGGTAATGCCGCAGCTGGGCTGGACACGGTCCCCACCCAACGAGCAGATGGTCAGATCTAGGGAAGGTCTTCACTGCAGAGTTAACTCAGGTGATCAGCCCCTGGGTCTGAGCACCCGGGTTAGCCTCGCCCTGGTGTCAGCAGTCCTGCTGCAAAGTAACTTCGAGGGGCCCGTCCCATGGTTCGTAGCGCTGCAGTGAGCTGAGCGGCTCTGACTGCGGCCCAGTGAATTGGGGAGAACGTGTCTGCCCTCCTGGGCGCACGGCGTGACTCGTGGGAAGGCAGCACAGTTATCAGCACTGGTGTGGTTCAGCCTGTGTCCCCACTGGAAAATGGACAGGTGGTTCGCCTGAGGGAAAGCCTCCCCCGGGTTTGAGCCCATACCCCCGGCTGGGTCAGTTAGTCGGGTTGAAAAACGCCACACAATTGGGGTGAGAGGGTTTGGTATGTGGACGGGAGGAGGGCTAGGGGCAGCCCATGAGTAAAAGCCAGAGTTAACTCTGCAGTGAAGACAGATCCCTGTTCAGGTCACAAGCCCTAACACTGCTCTAGCTAATGTAGATCCTATGTTGGCCCAAGGAGTAGCAGCTTGTGCTTTCCGTGCAGATAAACCCAAGCTCCATCCTTACTCACAGCCACAGGGGATGCTGAGTTTCCTCAAGCAATGACCTTAACAGTCAGGGGTCTGCCCTGAAATGATCCCCATTCCGAACCTGTGCCTTTCTATACTTATGGGGCTTGGGGTGCAGGTTTATTCAATGTATTTAGGGGCTTTTCTAGGCTCCCTATCTCCACAGCATCTGTGCCACTCAGCACCAATGGATTTAACTTCCCAGCACATCTGTGACATGACGAAGGATTTACATATGGGGAAATGGAGGCACTGTGGGATTAAGTGACTTGCCCAGGGTCAGCCTGGGAGTCAGTGCCAGGGCTGGGAATGGAACAACCATCTCCCAAGTCAAGTACCTTGACCACCAGCCCAGCCTTCCCGCCTAATCCGGTAACACTCTCTTCTTTTTCATCTGCAGTCACATCCCATTTCAAAAATCCAACCTCACAGATCCAAATCCCTCCCTACCAGAAGCTATCGACTGCTCTCCATTACATGACGCTGAAGACTTCCATAGCCTTCTACCCATGTGCTGAAAACAGGGCCCCTAGCGTGCTCCGGGTTGGCAGTGACACGTCCTGCAAAGACGACCGCAGCCTGGAGTACTGCAACGGACCCCTGCCTCATCCCGGGCCTTACAGGTACGACAGTTTGAGCCCAGGCAAACCAGCAGATAGGGGCCTGGCTGCCCTCTCCCTCACACAGCGGAAATCAGGAGTAACTCCCGGGCAGGCAGCGGACTCAGTCCCATATAGTTAGAGATTAGAGATCACCTGTATTTGCAGTAGCACCTAGGAACCGCTGTCCTGAACGAGGGCCCCGCTGTGCAAGGCGCTGTACACACACAGGTTAGACAGATGGTCCCTACCCCAAGGAGATTCCTGATAATGTTAACTCCCCTTGTTCCTCCATTCCCACCCTCTCTGGCGTTCTGTCTCCTCCGATCGGTGCAGCACCCCCGGCAACCTTCACACCATCAAACTTGCTCTTTCCCAGTCTAGAACTCACTCATTTGCTAAGGAGGCTCCTGGTTGTTTTTAACCCACTCTTTGTGGCTGGGTTGGCTGGGTGCAAAGAAGTTTAAGGAGCCTGCCAGATCCTGGCTCCTAGATCACAGGGCTGGCTCTGCCACCGCTTCCCACTCCAGCCACTCAGTTGCCTTTTGTAATTAACTGGCTCTTTAACGATAAGTGACCCAGTGTGGTCATTTCTGCCGTCCTCTCAGTCCTGATGCAAGAGGCACCTGCTCTTCCTCACCTGCCGTCAGGAAAAGGGCATTCCTTCTCTCTTCTCACTGTTCTTCCAGTCTCCCCTTACTCCCCAGCCCCTGTCTTAAGACACCAACTCCTGAGCATGGCGGGTGGAGTGGTTTGCAGATATCTAATCCCACATGGTGCTGGGGAAAGGGGCATCACCAGGGAAGTAACCAGAGAAGACCCCCGTGCCGGCTACCTGAGCGGAGAATTAGATTCTGCCTTTAGTATACATCCTTCCAGCCCGTTGACTTTAGTGGGGTTGTGCAGGTGTATCTCAGGGCAGGATCTCACCCAGGAAATTTGCTGGCACCAGGGGGCTTTGCATTTTGGAGGTTTCTACGTACACAGAAAGATAGAGAACAAACCTCTCTTCTACTTCAGAACTACAGTTCCTCATGCTGTGTGAGGATAGGTTCCTTGTGGAATAACATTCAGCCACTAGATGTCTCCCTGTGCTCCATACACTTGCAGGCAGGGCGTAGTCCCTGGTAAACAAGGGTAACCATGCTGGAATTTGAGCTGTGTGGCAACCTGTTTGTGTCTCTAGTCAGTAGCTGTATTCTTTAACAAATACCTCCCGCTTAAGAAGGACTTTGATTCCATAGACCGTGACTAAGGTTAAGATTTTGTCACTGTTATTTTTAGTAAATGTCACGGGCAATAAATAAAAATGCACTGGAGCCATAAGGTGGGGAAGAGGTGGCTGGGGACAGGGGAATGACAGCTGGACCCTGGAGGTGGGAGGGGCTAAGAGCCCGAGCCCCACCCTAGGGGGCTGGGGGGACTGACAGCCCAAGTCCCACCACCATGGGGGAGGGGCGTACAGCTCCAGCCCTGGCTGCAGTGGGGTGGGGGGCGTAAAGCCCCAGCTCCGTCCCCACTGCTCACAGCTGAAGCCAAAGTCATGGAGGTCCGGTAAAGTCACAGAATCTGTGACCTCTGTGACTAAATCGTATCCTTAACCCCGGCAGTCTGAGTGTCCCTCTTAGCATACACTGCACCTGCCGATCACTGTCGTACCTCGGTCCTGATATACCAAAGGCTGATAATACTGGACATCTGCTTTGGGGGTCTTTAATCTAGAGGAGAAAGTCAGAATAAAATCCACTGTCTGGGAGCTGAGACTCAACAAATTCAGATTAGGAATAAGGCATAAGTATTTACTAGTGAAGGTAATTAACCACTTGCGACCCAGGGCAGTCTCCATCTCCTGAAGTCTCCAAGGCCAGAGCAGATGGCTTTCTAACAAGGATGCTATGGCACAAGTAGGAGTTAGGGGCTCGACCCGGGAATGAGTGGGGGAGGTTCTGCAGGAGGTCCAGCTACATGATCAGAATGGGCCCTTCCAGCCTTGAAGAACTAGGAGTCGGGGTAAAGGTGATGGCAAGGAGAAAGAGCCAAATCTTCTACTGGTGTCATTCACCATAGCTCCATTGAATTCAATCGAGCTGCATCGAGATGTACCAGCAGAGGATCCAATCGATGGTGTCTTGGGCCAGCTGTCTGGATGCAGCCTATGGACGGACAGACAGACCCAGGATTTGTCGGTGACAAGTTGGGTCAGTTTTTCTCTCCAAGCGTGAGAGGTCTACGTGGCTTTGCCGTTTGCACCTGCATCCCTGATGCTCCAACGTGGGCTGGGCTGGAGCCCTGCCAAATGTCACTGACCTTCTCTCTCCTTTTCTCGCCTGCTCTTTCAGAGTGAAATTTCTCATCCTGGATACCAATGGGTCCAAGGCAGAGACAAGATGGTCCCAACAAATTATACTGAAGCAAGGTAACCCTGGAAGAACAGGGAAGGGGCGTCTTGTGTTGTAAGCATCTTGGGGGAGGGTTCTTGTCGCCTTTAAGCCTTGTAAAGGGGGATGATCCCACCCCCACTCTCAAGGCAGCACACAGGGACTTGGGTTCCTGACTCACCCTCTGCACGCTTCCTCGGGCTTGTTAGGATGGTACGTACCAGCCAGAGCTGGCAGTTCCCAGGGTGTCTCCTTGCAGGCCCCCTGTGCCTCCCGGCTCAGAGATACTCAGTCTTTTAAGCTCCTGAGTTGTAGTTAATTGGGCCCGCCTGGTCTAGTTGCCCGGGTGAGTCAGTAGAACAGCTCTGCACCTCCCTATAGGCCCTAATAGCCTGATACTCAGTCAGAAGCCTTGAGTGATCAGGCTACATTACAGCTCCCTATTGGGAATCAGACACTGAGCTACCGGGGCACCGTGCCACCCATACAAACCTGGGAGAGGGAAGTGACTGTCTGAGCAGCACTAAGGGAGCTGGCCCTAAATGATCCCAGCTTCCGCCATCCTCCTCCCTATTTCCTCTCCTCCCTTCCCTGCTGGATCCCTTCAGTCCCCACCACCGTCCCTGTCGGCTCCCTGCCCTCCCCGACCCCCTCCATGCCTGTGGTAAAAGCTTCCCCTGCCGTGTGCCCCAGGTCGCAAGGCGCGCTCCATCGACACCTGGCCCGGGAGGCGCAGCGGCACCATGGTCGTCATCACTTCCATCCTCTCCAGCTTCATTGGTGTCCTGGTGATCTTGTTCCTGTGCACGGTCGCTTACGAGTGGTGAGTGCCGATGCCCAGAGGGAGGCGCAGCCCGGCTGAGCCTTGGAGCAGAGACTGGCTCGACTGGGGGGAGGGGAGGGGGGCGGGAATCTGTGAGCCCAGGCCAGTGGGAAGGCTCTGGATGTGCGTCCTTTGGGGAATGACGAGTGAGCTGCCCTCCCCACCTGGCACTCACACAGCACCGACCCTCTCTGCTCAGCTACCCTGGGGTCAGAGGGCAGCAGCCCGGGTGGGGCCGGTGTGCCCCGGCCGCGCTCCCCACCCCCCCAGAACTGGGCTATGAGAGTAGATGCAGGGCCCCCAGCAGCCACTCGGCCTGGCGCTGCGGGAGAAGGGTTGGGTGCTGGGCCCGCCGAGCTGCTCACCAGCTGCGTGTCTGTGGGTTGTTTACAGCTTTAAGCTTTGGCGGCGAGAGGAGCCCGCGGTCCCGGAGGAGCCACGCGCCGGGTCCTTCAGAGAGAGGGAGTACGATACCCACCACATCCCCCCGTCACAGGCTCCACCCCAGCCCCCCAGCGACGTGCCCCGGCCTCACTCGCCAGCCGCCTCCCCATAGGAGCCCAGAGCTTCCCGCAGGCCATCGTCCTGGGCTCAGCGATCAGCACGCGGGAACCCCCTGAAACCTCACATCCCATGTACGCACCCCGTGCCCTCCCCATCACGCACCCTGCTGCCAGCCTCCCCTATATATCCCAGCCCCAGTGTCCCCTACGCTCCCCAACCTCCAACATCTCCATCACGCACCCTGCTGCCCGGCATCCCCTATATACCCCGGCCCTACGCTCCCCAACCCCCAGCGTCACCATCATGCACCCTGCTGCCCGGCATCCCCTATATACCCCAGCCCCAATGTCCCCTACACTCCCCAAACCCCAACGCCCCATCGCACACCCTGCTGCCTGGCGTCCCCTACGCGCCCCAAAACCCAGCATCCCTGTCACACGCCCCAGGCCCCAGCCTCCCACACGCTCACCCTGGTGCTCTAGGATCACCAGCCCTGGGAGAGAAGAGGATCCGTGCTCCCTGCCCTGCTTCTTCCCACTTCCCTGTGCCTGACTTTACAGGACACAGAGCAACAGCTGGAGAAGAAGGGGAGCACAAGCCACACCCTCTGCTCCTGCCAATCAAAGGGTCGTTTCTATTAACTCCAATAGGCAGCTGCCTTGGTGCATGGGGCTGGGCACTGGGGACACTCAGGGCACCTTGGTCATTTGTTTCTCGCGGGCTTTATTCACCTCCTGCAACTATTTATGAGGCCAAAATAACTGGAGGAGCGAGTGGCAGGGCAATCCCATGATGAGAGCCGAGCTCCATTTACCGAGCCGGAGGGATTAAAAAGCCCTTGAGAAACAAAGACGATCCCCTTCCTGGCTAATGGGCCCCCTGCTTTGATTCCATTTCTTTACCCCCAGCGTAGGGAACAGGGCCCGTCTGTCCTATCAGCGGGAACGTGATGGTGGTGTTCCCGGCCCGCCTGCGCTGCGGCTCCAGGTTCACATGAGTGCAGGGCTGGGTCCCGAGCCACGCTCCTCCTGATCGCTGGGGAAGTTTGGGCCTGGACCTAGAATTCCAGCCCGGGGTGGAGTTGGCTGATTGGCACCTGAATACACAATGACCCTCGGCACCCCGCCCTCCCCACCACCTGCAAATGACGCAGGAGCCTTCGGGCTAGAATGACAGCCCTGCCCTTGCCGGGCCAAGGTGAGCCCTGGCACACCTGTGCTTTAATGCACTGGGAGGCCGGAGCCCAGGGAACTGTGCACAACGCTTGCTGACGTCAGCGTGGCCTCAGGGCTCTCGAGTGGGCGGGAGGGAGGCGCCTCATCTCTGACAGGGGGGCCCTTCCCGAAGTCTGCAGGCCTGCAACAGAGCCAGCCCCTGGCCCCCTCGGACCAACAAGTGCCGAGGAAAGAGGTCAAGCCCACCCCCCTCGCCCTTCCCAGCTCTGTCCCTGGAGTCTGAGATTCCAGCCCCGCAGGACCCCAGCCAGGCCCAAGGGGAGGAGCTGGGACTCACCCCAACACCCATGGGAGTCACTGGGCTTTGGAGCTGGCCCCCAGCTCAGCAGGCTGCCGGATGGAGCGGTCCCTCCAGGACATGGAGCAGCCCAGCAGCGGTGCGGCTTTAGGTGCTTCCCCCTCCAGCCCTTAGAACTTGATTAAAGGACCAGGGCCCAATCTCTCTCCCCGCCCCTCCACACTGGAAGCCTTCCTCAGGGACCAGCCGGCCGGCCGATGTGAGAGGTTCAGCTTCTGTGGTTATTGTATATCCTGCTGGGGGAAGGTGGGTTTCTCTTTTCAACTCATCGGTGCCCGGCCAAGTAAACTGTAGTTTGCATTTTTGACCCGCTGCCTCGCTGTCATCCTTTGCGCCCTCCGCAGCGGTCCCAGCCCAGGGACTCCCAGCCCTTGGGCCGCAGGAGGGAGCTGTTCTACAGAACAGCTGACGAGACATCACAGGCCCAGAGGGTCCACGCAGCTCGCGCGCCAGCCTTGCTGGGCTTTACCAGCCCAGCCAGACCCCATCAGGAATGCCAGGCAGCACACCGTGCCATCTTGTGGCTGAACAGTGTAACTGCAAGTAAACGTACCGTTACCGAGGGCACAACCAGCGATGCCTTTTCATGCTCTTGCACTTATGTGGCGCCTTTCATCCGAAGGGACAGTGCGGCGTGCATTGGCATCAGCCTGCACAGTGCTGTTTAATGGGGCCCAGCGTGCTCATGTACAACAGGACAGTGCCTGTTCTCCCCCAGCCTCAGAGGTGCCCATGCCAGCTGTCCCACTACCAGCGTGTGTCTCATGAAGTCCTGGCCCCGTTCTGTAAGGAAGGGAGGGTTGTCGTGGACAGGAACGGGGCAGTGTGCCTTTCCTAGTGTCTGCTGGGGTGGAAGCCAACAGCCCCTAACCCAGCAGCTGTGTGTCCCTAGGCCTTGTACATTTGTAGCTAGTACCTAGTTAGTAACAAACTGATCTGGAACTCAAGCGTGCCCATGTGGTTTCCTCTAAATTTTATACGTTCGCGGGACATGGGTGTGGCCTGGCTCCCCCCTCGGTACAACGGGGGTAACAGTGCTGCCCTCCCTCACAAAGGGCTGTCAGATCTGCTGGTGGATGTTATTAGTGGTATAGCAAGAGCGGAGTTGGATGAGGGGTTTGTGGGGCCCTGAGCCAGAGAGGGGGCCCCACCCCACCCCTTCTGCCTGCAGGCCCCCCCCGCACCGCCTCCCCTCCCAGCGCTCCTGCCGGAGAGCGGGGTCGAGGCGTGGGGGCTTCCCCCATGCCACAGTGGGTGGGCGGAGCGGGACAAGCCCCTGCTCCCCGGCGGGAATTGGCTGGGTGTTGGCCCAGTGGCTAATCCGTCACTGGGCAAGAGCAGTAACACATCAAGCGTCTCAGCCACAGGAACTCAGTGTAATTCAATGGCCTTTTCCCCGCAGGGCAGAGGGCATGGAACGGCTGCATGGCCTTCACCTCTGCTTCCCTCTTGGACAATGGCCCTGAGATTCTGAGCCTCTTGACTCTGGTGAGCCGGTCCTGGCACAAACACCTCCCTCCTCCCCCAGCTGCCATTACTGCTGGGGAGGGGCAGGAAGGCCTGGGGCGGGGAAGGGGGAGATGAGATGGGAGTGGAGAGGAAGGAAGGGTGTGTGAAAGAGGAGGGCAGAGGGGGAGAACAGCTCGGACATTTTGAGGGACAGGTGGGGTTGGCTGCTGCAGATTAGAGAAGGGAAGGAGTTGTAATAATCCAGGTGTGCCCCAGAGAGCAGCAGGAGGGTGGGGAGCGGGTGGCGGGGGGAGCGACAGCTCGGCATGGTTCTGTACAACACTCAATACAGCACAGCGGGGGTGGGCAGGAGAGGAGCTCTCAGAACAGAGCAAACCTGGGGGCGGCCCATGGGGCAGTCAGGGCAGGGCCCACGGCACAGGGCAGAGCAGAAGGCAGCAGTGGGGTGCAGTGGGTAGAGCACGGTCAGGAGATGGGGTCATGGCTCTCTCTGGGACAGTGGCAAGTTCCTTCCCCTCCGTTTTCCCATCAGTAAAACCAGGTCAATGACCCCAGCCTGATGCGAGCAGTCGCTTCTGTTTTCTTCCTGAGCCGCAGAGAGGGGGAAGGGAGCTGCCCGGCCTGTGAGCAGAGGCTCCATGGGACCGGGGCGTGGCTGCACGGCCTGTCCCCGTTGGGGCTGGGGTTTGATCACGTCACAAGTGGGGCTTACCCAAGCACGGAGCAATTCTTCAGCGTCTTACGCACACATCCATGCACAGACACACGCACAATGCATGGACACACTCACACCTGGACACGCACCAAACCCACGCACATACACACATTTGGCTGGGATGATTCAGTTGGGGATTGGTCCTGCTTTGAGCAGGGGGTTGGACTAGATACCTCCTGAGGTCCCTTCCAACCCTGATATGCTATGATTCTATGATTTGCATATGGCCTGTAGCCCTAACCAGCAATCCTCTAATAAATCCAGCTATCCTAAGCCAGCAGCCCCCCTATTGACCCAACGCGCCCCCCGCAAGTTTATCTCTCTAGCTGCTTTCTGCGCTTTTGCCTGTTAGTCGGTGACCAGTTACTCTAAGCAGCTAGGTGCACTGTGCCACTAGTCACATGGGTAGGCCAGAGCAGAAGTCACTCTGCATTTCGTTATCATTTCAGCAGATACGCTCAATGTTTATCTTCATGCATTTTTTTCAACTTTGATCGATTCAAATTTTCCCAGTTGCAGGAAATTAGGAGACAAGGATCAGGCAAGGGGGGCGGGAGGGCGTGTTCCGGACAATAATGATTTAACGGCCGTAGCCGCTGAGATGCTAAAGCGTTTATATCCCTTAAAACACAATGGGTCAGCATCACGTGTGGAAAGATACAAAGTCAACAGCCTTAAATGGAGCTCCAAGAAGGTCTCCAGCAGCAGGTGTCTGACTGCCTGGCCGCACGCTTCGCTTAGTAGCACCGGAAACCTTTTCTCCTCGGTTTGTGTGTGACCGATACAAACCTGATCCTTCCCAGGGCCGGAGAACTGCTCCAGTCCTGTGAGCCCAGGGGGAGGCGCTGCTTCCCCCCACCCCAGCGCTGGAGCAAGCCCAGAGCGTAGCAGAGATGGGAGCAGCCATCGGGCTCCCCTCCCAGGGGTGGGAGAGAAGGGCGCCGGTGCTGTCACATACCCCAGCAGGGTATGACAGCAGTTGAGGTAGGCGCAGTTGGAGTGGCCCAGGTGTACTCATGGTCAGGTGTGTCCCTCACCCCTCCAGCACTGTGCGGATTCTCCAAGGGCTGGGAAGGGAGACGCCTGTCAGTTTTGCTCACAAGCTCAGTGACCCGAGCAGGGGAATGCACGGGTGGAACTACCACACCCACCTTGTCTCCTTGAGTTCAGTCCTAATGCCTTTTATTGGCTCAGTTTCTGCTGGTGAGAGAGACACGCTGTGGAGTTTACACAGCTGCTCTTCAGGGCCGGCCGGAGCTAAAGGCAGGGGCTGCTCGTATGAGCTGGGACGGCTACAGGCTCAGATCCCCTGCGGCCCAGGCACAGAGCGGGACCCCGACACACAGCAGTGGGTCACACAAGCACTGGTGGAGCCTGTGACGAAGTGGGAACGTTCTTACTGTTTTCTCTGAATACTGTGAGGGTGCCTCAGTTTCCCCTGTGCCTTTCTTAAGTCTCTAGGGGCTGGGATAAGGGGGTGTGATTGTTGCAGAGCAGAGGGCCAGTGTGATGCTGTCTGCACAGAGAATGGCCGACACCCTGTCTCCTGGCAACTGATGGCCTGGGCCCCTCCCCTGCAAGGTGCAAGCAGAAGGTGTTGGAGAACAAAGAGATCAGGTGCCCCCCCTGGCCCAGGAAGGGACAAGGCTGGAGGAGGAGCCAGGGGCTGTGGCTGGGGGGAGGCTGCTGGAGGGGGTCAGTTTGAAGCTGGTGGGGGAAATGGAGGGAGGCCCAGATGGGGGACTGGTCTCCCTACCCCCACCCCCACCCCAAGATGGACCTGACTGAGGGGGTCCTGTTTCCTGTCCCTACAAGCTCTGTTTTGCACTGTGTTCCTGTCGTCTAATAAACCTTCTGTGTTACTGACTGGCTGAGAGTCCCGGTGAATCGCAGGAAGTGGGGGGGTGCAGGGCCCTGACTCCCCCACACTCCGTGACAGAGCGTGAGGGGCCTTATTTCATCACGGAGATGGCTGCTGGTTAATACCGGAGTTCCTGTGGCTGAAAGCCCTCCCGCATGTTTTCTGTACAGTCAGCGTATCGCTTCGGCGACGTGAACCGCGAGGGGACGCTCACCCTAGAAACCGTGCTGGGAATCGGCTGAAAACAGGCTTTGGTACCAGATTTCCAGCTCGCCCCACGAGGCCCTAAGAACGTCCTTCCTCCTGGTTAGCTGGAGCCAGGAAACCCGGAGGCCCATGGAGGAAAAGGGTTTCTTACGCTCGACCCAACGGGTCTGAAGCTTTGGGTGCAGATCTGGCCTGGCCCCCCTCTCACCCGGCCACACGCTAAGCTCGAGTGCGTGACAATGAGGGAAGGAGCAATAGCCATTAGCCACCATCCTCGCCGGCCACAGCGCGGGCTGCCCTGACTCGGCCGAGCCCAGGCTGGGCTGTTCAGACTTGTCTCCTCCCGCACAGGTGTCTGATTCCCAGTGTTTGCTTTCACCCCCTTTCTGCAGAGGGGTGGGCCTGGTGCAAGGCCAGGCTGTTTTCTTCTGAATCCCTCCAACGCGGGCAGGGAGTTTTCGGACTCTGCTCCTGGTGAGGTCAGTTACAAAGGCTTGGACTGCGGGGATTTATCACTTGGCCATCAGTTTGGCCCTCTACTATAGCGTGACCAGCCTCTTTCAGAGGTAATGGGTCCAGCCCCACCTGCCCCTCACTCAGCGCTCCTCCCCAGGTGGGGCGCATCATCACAGCCAGGGCATGTAGCTAAATCAGGCCCAGGCCTAATGATGTGAAAGAAGCCTGCAGCAAGCCAGAGGGAGAGAGGGTGAGCAGACAGGGGGCTGCCCGGAGGGGAAGGAGAGAATTCAAAGGGGGCCAGTTCAGAGATGCTGATCAAGGCCTACAGCCTGCCTCTGAGAAGGAGGACCACACCCAGAGCGGCATATAGGCCCAGAGGGAGGGCTGTGGGACCCCGACCGGAGAAGAGGGACCACACCCAGAGAGGCACACAGGCCCAAAGCGAGGGCTGTAGAACCCCTGAATTCAGGGGAAGTGCAAGGGGCTAAAGACTAATCGCTCTATTTAGCGAATGAGGAATTCACAGGGGGAATCTCAGGTTAAAGCCATCTGGCCTGGGAGTGGCTTCTTACAAGAACCAGACCAGGGGGAGCAG